GAGAGAGAGAGAAAGAGAGAGAGAGAGAAGAAGGTCTTACAACGTAGCAGTAAGGAATTGTGCTGCCCATCAGAAGGTACACAGTTTGAATCCATCAGCTACTCCACAGAAAAAGATGAGCAGCAATCTCCTCTTGACTGATTTAATGCCTCTGAAAACCCATTGGAGGGTCAGCTATGTGTCAGATCCAACGCGATGGCACACATCAACAATCAACATATAAATACATATTTGAGAGAGAGATAGATGAAACGCTTGGATAATTTCCCATCATCTGTATACAGAAATGTAAATTTTATCTGCTGTAGCATAGTTGTCTAGATGTAGGCTATTTGTCAAAGAGGTTTCTTCTGTATTAATCTGAGAAAGGCTTCTTTCACTTCCTTGTTCCTCAAGGTATAGATGACAGGATTCAAAGCAGGAGTGAACACTGTGTACATGAGGGCAGCTGCTTTGTCTGTTGCTGGAGTGTGGGTACTCTTAGGCTGGAGATAAGTGAATAAGGCAGTTCCATAGAACAGAGAGACAACCAGGATATGGGAAGAACAAGTGGAGAATGCTTTGCCTCTGCCAGCTGCGGAGGGGATCCTCAAGATGGCAATAAAAATTCGGATATAGGAGAATAAAATAAGAAGACATGGATTCATGATGAATAGAACAGAGACAACAAACAAGACAATCTCATTATAAGACGTATCAACACAAGCCAGTTTCACCACAGGTATGACATCACAAAAAAAGTGCTGAATCTGTCCTGTTCCACAGAAAGGCAGAGTGAAGATCCAAGTAGTTTGGGCTGACTCTACCACCAATCCAATGGCCCAACATGACACAGCCAGTTTTATGCATACCCTAGGACCCATCAAGAGATTATAATGCAGTGGGTAACAAATGGCTACAAAACGATCATAAGCCATGGCTGCTAGCAGACAACATTCTGTCAGTCCCAATATAGTGAATAAATACATCTGAGCGGCACAGCCTGCTAAACTAATGGTCTTGTTCTCTACCAGCAGATGTGCCATCATTTGAGGCACCACATTGCTGATGTAACACATTTCCAGAAAGGAGAGATTCACCAGGAAGAAATACATGGGAGTGTGCAGGGAAGGAGTGACCCAGATCAGGCAGATTATGATGGCATTTCCTCCCACTGTAAATACGTATATAATTAAGAACATAGCAAAAAGCAAAACCTGTAATTCTGCTAGAGAGGAAAAGGCCACAAGTGTGAATTTGGTGCAGAGGGTCTGGTTTCCACCTATGATGGACTCAGAGACAGACATCTGAGGAGACAAGAAAGAGTATTCCATACTTACAGGTAGCCTTACACAGATCTTCATCAAACCTTAACCAAAGACACTTTCTTAGAATCACTGGTCTGATCTGAAAACTAAGATACATGGATTCAGTTTATTAAATATTTTAAAGTAACTTTAAATTAAATGGAATGTAATATTCCTTCTTTGCTTTGAACTGTGGATTTTATGCTTTTTGACATTTAGAGGAGTAAAACAGATTTTAGGAGCAAATTATGATCTGTTTTCATTTTATGAGTATTAAAGTTATATATACATATTATATAAGAACTCTGGTGGTCTAGTGGTAAGGAACTGTGCTGCCAACCCAACGGCTTGCAAAGCCACCAGTTACTCTGTCAGAGAAAGGTGGCCAAACTCCTCCAGCTAGCCATTTATTGCTTTTGAAAATCTAATGGAAGGTCAGTTAATTCTGACTCAATGTCACTAACAAGAACAACAATATTATTACATAAATAATATATTCTAATCAAAAGGAGTCATGTACCACCAAGCACAAAGAATGAAATACAATTATTATAATCCTACAAATTTCATACCCTTCCTTAAAAGTACCTGCAATAGTTTAGAAGAGTATGATCAGTAATTTACATTTCTTTACCTATATATTTTTATTTGAATACAATAACTTAGCTATTAGAAAACTAAAGTAAAAATTAAAAGTGAACATTCTCCTTTCAAAACATTACTATATATTTAAAGAGTATTATGAATGACAAATCCACCAAGATTTGCAAGTAAACTTACTTTTTCATATTGTATTCCTAATATTTCCAGAATTACAAATCATAGGATGATAATGGAGTAGGCAGCATTTCTAGTCTTACTAGAGACCTCAGGGATTGCATCTAATGTAAGGCTTAATTATACTTGTCTCAAGAGAAATTTGTAAAAAACAAGCAATAAATGCTTGGTTTTCATTGCTTGAGTAAATTTTTCAAAGAAATAAATCAATTGCTTTCAATTCCATCACTTAATCTTTCAATTTGTACAACTAAAAGTTCCTAATTGTTGTTCCGTTGAGTCGGAACCAAATTATAGTTGATCCTCCAGTGAGTTTCCAGAGGCAATAAATCACACAGAAGGAGATTATTCATCCTTCTCCCGTGGAGCAGCTGGTGGATTCAAACTGTGTACATTTGGGGTTACAGTGCAGCTTCTCACCACTAGGCCCTTTATGGATGTGCAGTACATATATACAGTCCCTGTCATAAACGTCACTAACAAGAAACATTTTACTTATTGTCAATGAATCACTCATTAGCAGTATCGATAAGACTTTACCTGGAAATTATAATTTTATAAGAATAACTAATCTAATTTATCAAATACATATTTTAAAATATTTTTTTAACTTGTCCTCAAGAAATGAAAACATGTTCACTTATAAGATTCTCAATTTCTTTTCGTCTAATTTATTTTATTCCCCCTGTCTGGTTGATATTTCCAATTAGTTGGATCAACAATTAAAAGAAGTAAAAGTGAGAGTGAGATATCGATTAAAAAGTATCATGCTATAAAACTGTGTGTATAATGAACTACCAGAATAATGAACAAAGATTTGTGCCTGAGGAAATGGAGCTAAGGTGCTCCTTAGAAATGAGAAGTATGACACTTGTTCCACATCCTCTGGACGTGTTATCAGAAGTAACCAGTTTCTGGAAAATGTCAATAAGCTTGGTAAAAATAGAGGGCCAGGTAGAAAGAAGAAAACCTTTAACAAGATGAATTTATACAGTAGCTGTGAAAATAAGTATGAACATAGTGTTAAAAATGGCTTGATCAGTGTCTGACCTTCTCTAAGTTGACAAGGTGGGAAGGGAATAATTTTATTTTTTTTTCTATAATTATATTTTATTAATTTTCATAAACATTTACAGAGATTTTGGGCTTCCACTCATTCATTGTTGCACTATTCTCTCTACCCTCCTCCCAGTTTGTTCTTGTCCAAATGCCACAGTGCTTGTCAAAGCCACTTCTGATTAATCGGGAAGGGAATAATTTTAAATATGAATAGCTCAATACGATTCCTGTGAGGTACAAGTCAGACATGTTTCCAACCTTCAAATATTTTACCTATCTGACAGCAACTCTTTTTCTGCTAGGTTTGATAATTCATTTCAAAAATCAAACTCATAGACCATACTCACAGTTATAGAACATATTGGGACATGATAGGTTAAAACTGAGAAACAATAGACTTAGTATCTAGAAAACAAAGATTCTCACCACTAGGTCACTTGGGAGCATCATGATAGATGGTGAAGAGATTGAGATTGTTAAAAGCTTTAGTTTGCTTGGCTCCACAATCAACAGTCTTGGTACCAGCAGCCAGGAAATTAAAAGATGAACTGCATTGGGAAAGTCTGCTATAAGGAACCTCTCCAGAGTACTAAAGAGCAATGATGTCAGTCTGGAGATTAAGGTGTATATGATCTAGGCTATAGCCTTTGCAATGACTTGTTATGTTTCAGAGAGCTGGACAATGACTACAAATAATAGAATAAGAATTCATGCCTTTGATCTGTGGTGTTGGAGAACAGTATTGAATATACCATGAACTGTTAACAGAACAAACAGGTTCATCCTAGTGAGGGTTAAACCTGGCTGCTCCTTGGAGGCAAGGATTCTGAAGATTCATCTGACATACTTTGGACTTTTGAAAGGAGGGACCAGTCCTTGGAAAGAGATACCATGTTTAATGTTTGGGAAGATGGAGGCACATTATAAGAGAGGGAGACCCTCTGTGAGATAGATTGTTTCAGTGACTGGGATAATGAGGGGTAGGTGTGTCTGAGACAATAAGATAGGCATAGGATAGAGCAGGGTTTAGGGCTGTTGTACATAGAGTTTCTATGAGTTACAGGTTACTGGATGGCACATAACAGCAACAATAACAACATATAGTTTCTGGGAGGCTGGGCTCTATGAGGAGGAATGTGGCCTTGAGATTGGAGGAAGACTTGTCAACAACCTGTGTTTTTCAGATGATACAACCTTGCTTGCTGAAACTGAGGAAGACCTGAAGCACTTGCTACGGCAGGTCAAGGGCTGAAGCCTTTAATATGGGCTGAAGCTCAACATCAACAAAGATTCTCACCACTGGACTGATTGACAGCATTATGATAAGCAATGAAGAGATTGAGATTTTTAACAGCTTCAATTTTCTTGGATCCACAATAAACACTCACGATACAAGCAACCAGAAAATTAAAAAATGAATTGAATCGCTAAAGTCTGCTGTAAGAGACCTCTCCAGAGTACTGAAGAACAATGATGTCAGTCGGGAGACTAAGTTGTGCCTGATCTAGGCCATAGTCTTTTCAATTACTTACTATGCTTCAGAAAGCTGGACAATGACTAGGGATGATAGAAGGAGAATTGATGCCTTTGAGCTGTGGTTCTGGAAAACAATACTGAATATACCATGGACTGCTAGGAGAACAAACAGGTTCATCCTAGAAAAGGTGAAGGCAGGCTGCTCCTCGGTGGCAAGAATTCTGAAGCTTCATCTGACATTCTTTGGACATATTGCAAGGAGGGACCAGTCCTTGGAGAGGGACATCATGCTGCAGAGGTTGGAAGGACAGCACAAGAGAGGAAGACCCTCGATGAGATGGATTGATTCAGTCACTGGGGTAATGAAGGTATGTGTGTCAAAGACAGTAAGATTGGCACAGGATAGAGCAGTGTTCAGAGTTGTTGTACATAGGGTTGCTATGAGTCTCCAGTGACTCGAAGGCACATAACAACAACAGCATATAATTTTCAATCACAACAGTCTCTTCTCAGGCAGGCCTTTTTATGATTCCCAACTCCCCAAGAGGTCTTTTGGGCCAGGTTGGCCTTTACCCTGCTCACTTGGTATATTGACAAACAGTCATGTTTGAACACATTTTATGTGATATACTCTTGGAACTCTGTGTTTCTGATTAATTTAAAATGTCAAATTTCTATTTGTAAACGGTATCCTAAAGAAAGTGACAATTTTCTGACCCTTTTGTGTAGTGGTGCCATGCATGGATTATCTATGAGTATAGTTTGACTAACAATAGGCAACTAACCATAACAACATACCATTGAACAGTTAATCTTAAGTGTGTGTTTTACACTTTCCTCACAGGTTTAAATACTAGTGGTCTTCTATGTTACTTGGCCACAATACACCTATATTTTGGCTGCCTTCTCTCGCTCAATTTTACTTTGTAACTTCTGTCAAATAAATTACTTGCATTTGTATTGGAGTTTGATTCTACATTAATAACATAAAGATAAAATAAAAACTTAATGTTGCTGTTAAGTGACATTGACCACTCTAGCTGCACCCTCCCAAAGACATATCTGTTCCTTCTCTTGGTGTCCATGGAATGTTCAGTGCTCTTCTCCAACACCACAGCTCAAAGACATCAATTCTTTTTCTGTTGTGCTTATTCATTGTCCAGCTCTCAGATGTTTAGCAAGTGATCAGAAAGAAAATGGCCTTGATCAGAGGCACTTTAGTCTTCAAACTGACATCATTACTCCTCAATAATTTGGAGAGGCCCCAACCACAGATTTTCCCAGTGCAATCTCCTTATTTCCTGACTGCTTGTACTTGGGGTGTTAATTGTGGATTCAACAAGGTGAAGCTGTTGACAGTTTTAATCTCTATCCATCATTATGTTGCCTGTCTATCCGGTGGTAAGAATCTTTGTTTTCTTGACACTGAGATTCTATCCATAACTAAGACTGCATTCTTTGATCTTCTGCAACAAATGTTTCAAGTCCTCATCCCTTTCAGCAAACAAGGTTGTGTCCTCTGCATAATGCAGGTTATTGATTAGTCTCTTTCCAATCCTGATGCCACACTCCTCTTCATAAAGTGCAGCTTCTTGGATCATTTACTCAGCACACAGATAGAATATATATGGAGAGATAATGCAACCCTCATTGGACTCCCTTCTCAATTTTAAACTGTGCAGTGCTCCCCTGCTCTGTTCAAACAACAGCCTCCT